ATTTAATTAAAATAAGTTTAAACTCTGTGTATATTCGAATAGTAGAGTTAAAGAGGTTGATATCGAATGTGGTTCCAGTCGTCTACGTTGAGGATTATCGACAAAGATCAATTCCTGTCAAACTGCACTGGATTTTAAGCTTAACATTACTACTGTCAAATTGAAGAATTGATTTTCAAAATTCACGAGTTACAGCCAAAACGAAGTGTTTTTTCAGTGTGGTCCATTCCATGCAGAGTGGTCGTCCATTCCATGCATACCAATATAGAATGAATTAAATCGCATTTCAGTCTGGACTGGTGATATGTGGTTTTTATCGCATTACTGTTTGAGCCTTTTCTGACATCAGGGCCATTCAGGGCGTAAATTAAACAATGCGGACAACAGTGCTGAAGCTCAGGCATAGTGGTAGGCTTAGTAATATTCCAGTGAAACCGAGAAGTTACCGGATTATTGGACTAAGCCGCAAATCAGTTTCAGTTCTTGTCGGTATGGATGGGAACATATATTATTGTCTATTATTCAACCGAATTGAAGTTCAGTAAAATATATCTATGATGATTGATGAATGTGATCGAAACGTTAGCATTTATGATGATGGGTGGGATATGAAGACGAGCATTTTAAAAACTGAGCAGTGATACATCCGAGGTCATTTATTCCTAGTGCAGCGGGTGTTGATAAACATTCTCGCATGTTCTTTAACATATTTAGTGGGGTAATTGAAAATGTCAGCTGAAGATGCTGATTTCATTCAATGTAAGAACACTGTTTCACTTGCCAAGTCACTTAAGCCGGAAATTCGTGATTACTTCCCTGAATGGACCTCGCTAATGAACTTATAGTCAGTAATCTGCTAGAAACATTGTCGCTGAAATGATTTGAAGCATTCTTTCAAGTGCTCACACGAAGTGCTGAAGTACGGCGTTTATGTGTTGTGTGGTGACCGTTTCTAATCAGTTACCCTTAAAATATGAAGGCAAAAACTCAAAATTAAAATTTAAAAAATGTTTACGGTCGTGTAGTGTGGTAGTTATACTATTTTTTAAATATGAAATTGGGTTATTTTATTCCATCATTATAAAAACCAGTGCGAACGCAGAATTCGTTACTTTCGATAAAATTATTTTAAAGTAAAAATTGATAAATCATTAATTTGGAAATAAGTGAAGAACCTACTTGGACGATTTAATATTTTCGAATTTAATTTTAAGAAACAACACAGCTGATATTTTTGTTTGATGTAGCTGCTATGCTGGATTAGATAATTGATCTTTATACGGAATAAGCTGGATGACGTTTGACCTCATTCTTGCCGTTATCTGACTTACAACCTTTCGGACAAAAAATGAGTTGCATTTACTTCTTTGTCATTCGTTTGGCATTATTTTTGTTGTTATTGTTGTTTTCGTCATCTGAGATATGAGGATCAAGGACCGAGTAGCCAAGTTAACGATGTCTGACGTTTTGGCTTCTCAGGAAGATTTTGGCGACGTTGCTGCTGCTGCAGGTAATGTTCCTCGCCTGCAAATAACACCACCTCTCTAACAGCTGTTTTTGGGTGTGATATTTGCATTTACAGCCATTTCTTGCTTCTCAGAGGAGAATGGTTTTGGATATGTCTCAATTATCTCTCCAAATGGTTCTGTTAAAGCACTACTGTCTCCGGTCTCTGATTTCTTCACACCTCATTCCCAGGCCGATCATCTCCAAGATCTTTTCATTCCTTATTCGATTCATCGCTCTTTCTGAATGTTCCGCAAACAGAGCTGCTGAAGTGTCCAAAGTGTTTTATCGTTTGGCATGCTGCCAGATGATTTGCTTATAGAAGATTGTTCTGGTAGTACACTTTGTGTATTCGACAGCAAGACTCGATGCTTTTGTTCAACGAACAGCTAATCATCAGTGTGGAAAAAGTCTGCTTCGAGCATGACTAGGTTTAACTTAAGAGAAATCAATAATTAACTTGAAGTTTGGAAGGAAAGCACACCCTCATTTTGAAGTTTTCAGCAGAACTTAACTGATTGGCTATTAGTTCATCAGAATGCGTTTTTCATCATCTACTAGTATTAACTGTTGCTTATTTTTCAAAACTAGGCGTAATGGTAGACTTTTGAAGACAAATTGATTATTTAAATTGATACTTTTATTGGTCACCGCGTAATTAGCAACGCATTAATTCTGATTGTCTGTAATAATGCAAATACGATCTCGTTAAACTCTGTCAGTGAGAAATTTTTGCTAATGAATTAAAGTGTTGACTGGCGAACAGTAGGGACATTATTATGTCGTTGTGTCGCAGTTCCAGAGCGTGCGAGATGTCGTCAACCATGCATGCTGTCTGATGCATCTGCCGTACGGCTGCAAGTCCTGTTGATCCATCTGATAACTGTCTCTGTACTGTGATGATGAAGGTTTAAACCAGTCTTTTGATTCATTCATAAAGTTTATTGATGTTTCAGCGAAGCTATGAGCGTTTTATCTTTTTTTCAACCACGGACGATCAAACCTACTCCCTGGAAGAGCGTCGCAGAACTGGGCTTGGATTTGGCGATTCCTGTCTGCATGTACTTAAAAGTGAGATATCTTCACATTCACTTTGTTTTTAATACGCATTTTTTAGTGTAGAGAGCATAAACTTAGGCAGAGCTGGAAATTCTGCGAAGCATCTGATGTAGACCGAGCCGTTTCTGTGGTTCATACGTACCACGTGATTAAAGCCAACGAGAATGAAATTGAAAATAAAGGCCAATGGCAAGAACTGTTTTCTGCCAAAAACGAAGTTAGCAAGGGTGACCTTGTCAAAGGTTCTTACTGTATGATATTGCGTTTTAAATTACAAATATTACGTGTTTCAGTGTTTAAGTACGGAATAACGTTAGTTCCGTTTGATAAACTAGACATGGAAGCGACAAAATACAAGTTCAGCGGAAAATGCATGCAAATTTTGTGCTTCACTGCTGCTGAAAACGTAAGTTCTTATAATTATGGTTGAAATTGATTTCATCAGAAATTAATGATCGATCATTTTGTTACGTGGAATCAAAACATGTTCGAACATCGAGGGTCATGCCTCGATCCTTTGAGTTACGTAATCGATATACCCCGATAAGATGTGTTTACTAGCAAGCAGCTAGTTTTTGATACCGCCGGAATGAATTACATTTTCCTTCATTTTTCCGGATTCATACTGCGTAGTCACACCGTCTCCTTGTTTGCCTAATGGGCTGTTTGAAAGGGCCACGGCGCCAATGCACGCCAGGTGCTAAAATTTCATAGATCAATATTCTGCTTAAACGTTCCACTGGTTATGACTATATAGATTTTCACAGAGGCGTAGCGTTGATGTATCTCGAATCGCTTTTTTGATTAGTTATACTTTCATCGTTTCAGATATGGTTATCATTACCATTATTGTCATCATTTCTCGATCGTGTACAACCTTGGGCAGCAGTTCTTAATCATCAAATCCATAAGTATCCAGGAGACCGAAGGCAAACAGGTTAACGCTATACAGAATTCTCATAGGATGTATTTCTCATATGGCCTCTTAGAACCAGCGTGCGTTTTCGATGCGCTGATCTTTAAGTCTGACCGTCGAGGGCGAATACTTTATGAAAAGGGGGTTTAATTTCTTTAGCAGGACATGCGAGAAGCGATCTGAAAACTGAACGCAGCAATTTTGGCAAGCAGCTTCTACCAGCCGCTTTTCAACTTTTTTCTTGTCACCCTGATTTCAGCAGCTGGTATTCTTTATACACTTTGCTAACAACATAAAGTTAGCAATTTCAATAGCCGGAGTATGTTTATAAACATGAATCTACCGATTTCTGTTTTTACTTATATGCAAATTGCTCACATGTTCAAGTTGGTGGCAATAGATATTAAGTTTACCAACTAATGAAACATTATTGGTAATGATCAAGGTCTCACGTTGTCGTGTAGAAGCAATGCAAGATTGATAAATGAATTTCAGCTGTTAAAACACCAAGAAGTCAAGGCCTACTTTAATGAGTTCTTAAAGATTCTGTGGGCAAAGTGGCGATGCTGGGACGCTAATATGTCAGTTAAATTTGTCCTACTGATATATTCTAATGTATTCGGTGAAGTTATACATACAGTTGAAGAAAGTTTGAGCAAAATCAGGTACTGTGGCACGAACGATGAGAAATCCACTTTTCTTAGTGAATAAGTACGTCAAATCGTTGATTATAAGAAAGAAATTGCTCTTCCCTCAAACATTCTGCATGATGTTGTTTTATCCTTCTAGACTTTCAAATTTTATAACTTTCAGAACGAAATGTTTTCTAGAGGATGAATAAATAGCGACCGACTGAATTAAGTTGTTCTGTTCAACAACTAT